CCCTCCGAATCAGACGGATCCCCAAATTTTTTACTTTCAGAGTGCACTCTTGTCATAACTTCAAACAAATAACTTTCAAAATAAAAAAAAATTGAGAAAAACAAATTTTGAGTCTAAGAACGCCATTTCCGACCATCTAAAGGCGGCCATAATCATAATTTTCTTACCTCAGCCCCAACCATGGTGGGACTGAGGTAGTAGGCCTATAGACCCTCCATCTCTGAAAGTCCCTCTCCGAGCACCCTCTATTTCAAATTCCTGGATCCGCCACTGTGATCGCTTCTGAAATTAGTACTAATTGGCCTACCTACTTTACTTTTGCCATTACTCAAGAATAAATCCTTACAAGATTCAAGATACTTTCGACGAATATAACGTGGAATCCAACATTACTGTTTTTGTTTGGTGGAAATCCATTATTGACATTCTATGTGTAGAGTTTCTTATTATTGGTTACATTATTTCGTCATACCAGTCAACATCCCTCACCTGTTCATTATTCTTGTTCATCTCTTTCCTTCATAATTTGAGTTCTTTTCTGATCTGTCGTTGTGGGTTAACATTATAATATCATTTAAACGTGAAGCAAGCAAGAAATTTAATAATATAAATCAGGATAGCCGTTAACACTGTTAAATTATATATATATATATATATATATATATATATAAATCAAAGAAAGGTAAATACCTTTCTTTGATGATTTATATATAATTTAACAGTGTTAACGGCTATCTTGATATATAATATTAACATAGGCTATGCAACACATTTAAAACCAAAATATATGCAATTTATTCTGCCTTCGATTTGACAAATTCTACAATTTGATAAACCTTCAGGTCTCATGCAGGAAAGATCAATTAAGAAAAACATACAAAACATACAAGAAAAAAAAAAGAAAACAAAAACAAATTCTAAAATCATAAAATATCCATTTAGTCAAAGTCTTAAATTATTTTTAAGCTTGAGTGTTAAATGTGCTTGATCAACAATCATTTCTGAACTTTAATCATGATGCCATGATGTATGTATATGTATATATATATATATATATAAATTTATATATAGGGCCTATATATATGTATATGTATATCCTATATATATATATATATATATATATATATATATATATGTATATTATATATATATATGCCTATATTTATATCACTCCTTTTTCAATAGACTTTTTTTATTGTTCACTGCTACTTACACGAAAATAATGTTATTTCTGCCATTTTATTGTTAGTCAATGACAGCAATTGTGATTACCTTTAAATGTTTAATTATATTGTTCCAATCCATAAAGTTTTTTCTGTCTTTTATGTACTATGTTTACACTGCTACTAAATAACTTCATAATTATTGCCAATTCTATCTGTTTATTCGAAAATAATCTTAGTCTATAACGATTTGTGATTTTAATGCATCTACATATAACTGTATTGTTAGTGGATTGTTTATATTATAATAATTTGATAATGGATAAAATAAGATAAGCATTATATACAACAATCATGGTTAATGTCTTCTTTTATTGCACCAGATTTTATTTGTACGGTAAATTTCAAAATGAAATAATTGTTGAATAAACTGTTAATATCCTGAAATCAATCATAATTATCTTCACTTTGAATTTACTGTTCATCGATACGTAAAATGTAAAGTATATTCACGCTTACTATAAATATGGGTTGATATCACTCCGATTTTCACGCTTTTTATAAAACAATCTGACAATTTATACTGTCTAGTAGGCCTAGGACCTTATGTTGTATTATGTTCAGACGCTAGAGCAAATTGATGGTGATTCTAATCTCATTAATATATTTATTATTGCAGGTTATCGATAGAGATTTAAAAACACGTAAGTGTTATTTGTTTTCTCAGGGAACAGTAAAATTACAATTTAACAGTTCCCTTTTTTCTCTTATTATACCGACTGCGTTTATATTATTAATGTGCGTAGTACACAGACCTACTGCTGTAGTATTATTGGTAACTATAGAGAGCTAGCTACGCGACGAAGCATTGCTGTGGTGTGTGTGTATCCATAAGGTAGTTCTGGCATCTGTTTTTCCCCAACAAAACATGGACTCGTCCATTATAACACCTACGGTAAATTAAAGTCTGGCTAAGAAATCATGAATCGGAAAAAGAATATAAGGCCTATTGTTAGTTTTATAGGAATTTTATTCAGTCGTACTATCGGTATTTTTGAAAATTTGATCTGTGGATATTCATAAACGTTTTATATAGATACGAGGGTTTAACTAAAGGGTATCATTTTGCATGAGCGGAAATATAACGAAAAGCACGCTAGTGTACCAAGGCAATTCAACAAATTGTTGAATACCAAAGATTCTCTACAAGTCTTTGAAATTATACTCTTACTAATACTAACAGTTATTTACGAATACGACAGTGTCCGATGTCCCCGACGAAAAAATTGGGCGTGGTCGGGCGTCGCTCAAAGTCTCTCGAAAGTGTTACAGGGGGCGATGCCCCTAATAATGTGACAATTTCTCACATTTTTTCTCCCCGACGAATTGTGGTTTTTCTTCTCGACGGGGGAGGAAGGGGGAAGCTCTCCTCGACGGGGGCCCTGGCTCCCAGCTCCCCCTCCACTGGCGCCACCCTGGTAATACGATAATCGTTATTGAAATTTACATAACATATGGACAATTCACCTAATTAAATTAATACGGGATTGCAAAAGCCAAAGATGAGAATAAGCCCGTGTTAATTCCGGAATGATATCGGGTGTATTTCTATTTAGCAATACTCTATATCATGAATTGAGTTTTTAAATATTATTATTTACAATTATTATTTGCATTATTTGAGAATCCTTAGGAATAAAAAATAATATATATACATAACAATATTCAGCTATAAACTAATACACTCAAAAATTATTTTGTAATCGCTACCGGTACATATTATTTAATTCATCCCAGTGTACCATATGAGTTAACGGGCGTTGTATTTATAATCGAATCAAAAGTGTATTAATTTTTCATCATCTCTGTTAACAGACACCCTCTATGTCGCAGTAGTATTTTTCGAGATGCTTACAATAACTCACTAGTGTATCAATAATTAGTGAACTTGGCGTTACTCGAGTATTCGCACTTAAAATTAATTTCGTTGCAAAACAATCGTAGAATAATGAACTTTCTAAACTTAGTTATAATTTTTGCATTAAATGATAACAATAAATATACAGGTCTGGGTCATGTATTTGAAAGCTTCTTGTTCAGTGTTGTTTAGTTTTATTTGTTTGAGCCGTCCAAACTATCAAATTTCATTTGACAAAAGCAAGTGGCATGCTTAAATATTGTCATGATGACATCACATCATGACCATATATAGGCACACCATGACTATATATGGGAATGCAACAGTTTTTTTGTCGAAGAAAATTTGATAGTGTGGACCGAGCTTTTTTATGTTACACAGCACTTCACTTCTCACCAAAGACCTTATAAACACAAGATTTACGCAATTCACGCGTAACAAATAGAAGCGTCGATTTGGCACAGAAAAGTAATCAGTTTTGGGAGAGGGCGTCCTAGTCGTTGCAATGGATCTGAGATAGGGTGTTCGCGTTACGCCATAAGTTCAAGCCCCATTCCCGGCAAAATTTCAGTTTTAAAGAAAAATCTAATTTTTGTATAATGTTATAAAGATTTATAAATATAATACGGAATTGCTAGTTTAACGGAATTTAGACATTCCTAAGAATGAAAAAAATGTAAAATAAGACTGAAATTTGATTTTTTGTGTTCCACACAAACAATAAATGCGGATGAATTTTTCATTTTGATTTTGCGTTAGGTCGTGAGAAGAAATATCGTAGGTGCCGAAAACATAGCCTATCCAGCGCTGCTAGGCTAGGCCCAGCCTTACCTCGATTTAGGTTCTGTTATCACACATAAAAACGGCCGACATGATAATTTCCGTTGCTAGTATTGACACTTGTGAAATATAATATTTCATAGGAATTATTTCAAATTTGTTAAAAAACTGATTCTGACTGAGACTGACTGAGATTTTGACACTTAAACAAACATATCTCAGCCTAACCGAACGACCGCATTGTGCGAGATGCGAAGTACAAAAACTAATCTCATTAGAGAGGGCGCACTTTATTGACTGTATAAAAGTATACATAAAAGCGAGAGTATTCCAGTGGATGCGATCTACAACCTCTGAATTTACCTAGTAACGATGAATTCGTCCAGAAAATGGTAATATTTTATGAGAAATAGTCTGTATTTCTCATTTTTTTATTCTTTTGCGTAAAACTAAAATTCATGCCAATATTTTTCCATGATTTATAATATTTGGAGTAATGCAAATGCATATTTTCTAAAAAAAAAGTCAATTTTTAGTGAAATTTTGCCGGGAATAGGGCTTTCATTACCAAGTACGTTAATTAAGTTCCTTATGTTCTAAAGAGAGGGCGCATTGTGAATCGGACGCTTCTAATTGTTACGCGTAAACGTAAAGTCGCGCATCGTACGCTATGGTCAGAGCGGTCAAGGTTCAAAAGTTTTCAATTTTGCAAGAGGGCGCCGTTCATGCGTTATTACAGAATTTGCACGTGTAAATCGCATACCATTATATACCATGTATAGACTTTAGAAACAGTTTATTGGAGAAAAGGGATTTCTCCAATAAAGTGTTACTAAAGTCTTTACATTGTATTCGATTCCTATATTCTTTTATTATCTTACCGACACACACGTGCATCCTCACAATGTATATATATATATATATATATAATTATATATAAACTTTGATATAGACCTATACATTATGTTATCTTTATTTCATACTCAAGAATAGTTATAATTTTGTTTGAAAAAAATCCATTATAACTATATTTATCAACTATATTTAAAAAATAATAAATTTGTATTTAGTTGAACTCTTTACATTGAGTAGTAATTTTCTTAATTTTATTATAAAAAAAACCATACTCTTCTGTTTTTAATTAATCCACCCTTTAAACGTTTAAATGTATATATACGACGAAGTAATTAGCATTTTTTCTCTGAAATAATAATAATAACGTGCTTAATTTCAGATGGCATATATTTTCTGTCACGTGAATATGATTATGAAGATGCAGTCGAATCATGCAGTAATCATTTAGGATCCATTGCTTCTTACGAGCAGCTGTACAACGCGTTTCAACCAACTCTGGAGAACTGCAAAGATGGCTGGCTTATCAGTGGAGAGATTGCATTTACCGAACTAACAGACGCATGCACATTAAAACCACCAGAACAGCGCAGCAATGTATTTCCCTGTAAAAGTTATGAGAGTGGAGTTTATTGTCAGAAGGAATACAATCCTTCAGCACTCGACTATTTACCTAAAGAACAACGGATCATTCGACTGACGAACAGTAACCTGAAGAAGTTAAATGCAGAAGATGCTGAGATATGTTGTAGTACTGAATTCAACGGTCAGCTTGCAACACCTCTTCACGTTTACAATAACACATTGTCACTAGGAGTTAATCTTTGCGAAACAGGGTGGCTTTCAGGTTGGTTGGTGGGAAATCCATGTAATGGGCATGCACCACCTGACTTCTGGCTTTATCCGGCGGGTAATGAAGTAAACTTCAAGATAGCAACGAACGAATATTCTGCATTTTGTTTTGTTCCTCTCACGAATCAGACCTTGACATACACTGACCCTTTCCCCTCTCATCGTGTCGTGCATGGAGAGGGAGAAAGTCGTTATTCTTTAAGTTACGATGAAGCTGATGATTTGTGCACAAATCGAGGCGGTAGAATGGCAACGAGAGCGGAAGTAGAGTACGCCTGGCAGTCAGGATATGACCGTTGTCAGGCTGGCTGGGTCACAAGTGGGGAAGTTATTTACCCACTAATAGAACCAGAGGGCTTTTGCAGCGGCAATACTCCAGGCATCACAAGCTGGGGTTTTAAGGATATGAGTACTTACAGTTCCTCTGTCTTTTGTTATCTATAAATGGCGCTGCACAGTCGCAACATGCTTGGTAGTTTGTTAGCAGATTTCCAGCTACCATTTGAGATGGATGATGACGGCATGAATGTACGACCACAGTTGACTCAATCTAGACTTTTTCCTTTGGTGTGGGTAAACATCTTGCATCCTAAAATTTATATCTCACATTACTAATATTAGATTTCAGAGATATCATTATCAAAAAGTAAATAACTGCAAGAGGTCTGACTGTGGGGGTTTCATTGAAACGCAATCCTATTTCAAAAAGTACTGTTACGAAGGGGCGTGTCCTTAAAGAACTCTATTCTAATAGGGCCGCCCTTATCTCGTTGGCAGCACTTTTGTTTCACCTGAGACAGAAGTAACGTTCCATTGCCTGCATAACAAAATCTGGGCAGTCGGATCTATTGCAGTTATACACTCTTTGCCATTATCAGACTAGTTTGCTTTAGAAATCTAGCCTTTAAGCGAAGACGGTAATCTCTCCTTTCGGAGATAGAAGAAAACAAGAATAAGCTCACACACAATGTACTTTTGGGCTATCGTAACTGTATTTCATTAACTGGACAGGACACTAAACAAGGCACTCGTACACCGCATCGGCCTTTCTGACTCAGTGTGGTGTGGTGCAGACATCTGCCCACGTAGTCAAATCGGCGATCTTGCTACAGACGACAGTGAATTCAAGCATGGCTACAAATCTCAATCCTTGCCCTTTAAAGCAAATTGTTTGAGTTTTTTTTTCAGACGAGTATAATGTATATAAAATCTAATTTAAATTAAAAATGCTTTAGAAACTATTTTTCAGTTCGTAGTAAACTTTTTTACATTATTTAAATATTGTAAATTGCAGTGATTCCTTATTATAACAATGCTTTATTGCAACTGCTATCATCATCATCATCATCATCGGCAGCCCAGTCGCGAAAGACCATGCATCAGACACCCGTGGAGAGGGATAAAATTAGAATTATTAAAAACATTTTTTATTGTAATTTGTTTCACTGTGTGTTTACCATAATTTACCAAGAAATCCAGCACAAAATTACAACAGCAATAATAACAATAACAAAACCAACGAAAACAATAATAGTAAAACGTTAAAAAGCAAAAAAAAGAGATAAATAAGGATTCGGATTGATTAGATGGACTAAAGTCTTTGACATCATTAGGTGTGGTTGTGAAGTGCTATATTCATTCTATTTTATTATGTGTTTCACGCAAAATCGGATATACTGTATTTACAAATGCAAGTTCTATGCATTATAGAAATTTTGAAAGTATGTATACACACAGGCACGCGCAAACCTCACGCACAAACCCGCCCCCACTCCCAACACACACACGAAAACCCAAAATATAAACCCAAAAAATGCAAACCTGTTTAAAACGTTGGATATCCAAGTCACAATCAGAACGACAAGCAAGCATGTCGCTGGTATTCAGTACGAGAGGCGCACCAACCTAACGTCTGGGCAGGACCCGTTGCCAGAGCGCTGAGTCCAGTTATAGAAAAAAAAAATACTTGGGTGTATTAGTGGGATTATTGATTGAGAATTTTATTCAGGTAAGATATTGGGCTATTTTTTACTCCTTAAGTCTTGAAGGCGACTGTTTCAAACTTTGTTGGACTACGAGCTCATTGATAACGTGTTTGTTGACTTTTGGAATCAGTGGTCGAACCTTTCATTAAAACATAATTAGAGAGGATTTGCGGTCGAAGCGGGTCCGGCCCAAGCGCCGTCAATGCACCCTCATAAGTGTTGTGCTCTCCTGACAAAATAATGCGATATACATGCTTCTGAACCCTCTCAAGTCGATCAATATTGGCCCCGAAGAGACCACCGTTCCAAACAGGTGTGGCATACTCACGCTTTGGTCGAATATAACCTACATAAATAGACGGAAGTTTATCTTCGTTAAAGCCACTCTCCCGGCTTTTCATGTATAAGCATCTTTCTCTTTGCATTTATTTGAATGTGGTCAACATGACCATTTGAAATAATCTTGAATCACCTTGCCAAGGAATTTAACTTTGTTGACAATCAGAAGCATGGTGTGCGAGATGTGAACCGTCCATGTCTGGTAAACCTCTACGACAAAAACACGTCCGCAAGATCTGGCACTTGGGAGGGATTAAGATTTAATTTATTAGTCACTGACTCAAGTGATTGCATCAAGGCAGATGTGAATGGAACTCGGAGAATCAAACCTTTTATTCCTCAAAGTGTCAGATCATCAACATATTTCCAGACAGATGTTCAAATTTGTAGCACGAGAGGGACTTTCAATGAATACAGGACGTATGACACAGAGAAAATTTTGTGATAGGAGCAAGGAAAGTTCCTTGTGGGACACCAAAAAAACCAAGTGTTTCCCACTTGGAGTAGTGATTATATATTTGCATCGTTATTTTAAATTATTTGAGATAAAGACGACGACCCACTGCTAAATAGATATTTACCATCACTTAATATCAGAAGCAGAAAAATCTGGTAACATCAGTACACCTGCGGTAACTGAATTTACCGAAGCTTTAGATGTTACTGATCATCGTGTGTCTATCAATTTTTAATTGCCGTATTGTTGTAAATTAATGCGAAGCTTAATTGCATTATTAATTATTGGAACCTCTTTCCTCAGCAATTTTTGACGAATATAGGGGCGATAGAAATAGGCCTCAATTTATTCATTTGTGCCCTTGTCTATGGATTATTATGGACATTTGTTGCAAATAATTTTTTATTGATAAATTATTAACGTGGTTTGTTTGAAATGTACATTTTTGTCCTTGTGAGCTTTGTAGTTTCTTTGTTTTTACTAAGAAACTACAAACTACAAATTTTATCTTACCGGAATAACAATTCTGTAACATATTATAACTGTCAAGAAATTATTAACTTTCAAGACTGCTGAGCAAATTAAAGAAGAACTGATTAACATGAAGAATAATAAAATTGTTTTCCTTTATATTCTCATTACCATAAGTGTGTTTCTTTTCCATTGTCCTTACACTATGGAAGAAGACATGTGTTTGAAATTTGTGATTTAATGAATTATATTGCTACATATATTATCAAATTAAATTAAATCACTAATTTCAAACACGACCTGTCTTGTTTGAAATTAGTGATTTAATGAATTATATTGCTTCATGTTATGTCTACAACTCAAAACTGTAATGTAATGCTGT